TCTATACATATAATTCAGTGAGTGTGGAAGCAGAGACCATCAGATGTTCAGCTGTCAAACTGATTCAATCAGGACATCCAGCAGTTGCGCCCGGACATCCACATCTGCAGCTAAGACTGATTTCCAGATCTTGAGACGAGAAACCAAGCCAAACCAACGTGCACCCCACAGGCGACCCACGCGATCCCAGAGGTCAAGTCGGTCACCGTCCTACGCTCGCTTCGTATACGCTTCCGACGCTTCAGCACGGTTGCCCACTGAACAGCTACTTGCACAGAGGTCGGCTAGCTAACGTAGACCTATAAGTCACTATGGTAATATGTGTTATATAGGTTTGCGCAAGTACTGTGCGTTGTTTGTACCATTTTCAATGTTGGTTCCCTGGTTCTGAAGCTGGAAATGGAATCAGCAGACAAGGCGCTCTCAAAAGAGAGGCGAGCAGAAAGCAGAAAAGAGCCACTGCCTGTTCTACTGATCTGTTGCCCGGGCAGTTGCCCTGGCAATGAGTCTGTGGAGGAGAAAGTGCCTTTCTTGACAAGATCATCCAGGAATCATCCATGTACTCCGCGTGGAAGAGAAATTCAAGCAACCATAGCCCATAAGCTCATAATATTTCCTAATGTAAGGAACCTAGCTAGCTCATTTATTTCGTTGCTTCTTTCTTGAGGGTGTCAGGGTGTTGGCATTTTGTTGTTGGAACGGGAGATGCAAATTCAATCCGACATCGTGGTGTTCTCCGTCAAATCTTCGTCGTAGGGTTAACCCAAGGAGCATGAAACATGATGCACACAAATTCCAGGTCACCAAGGAGCTCAGATGCATTCCTTTTGTTGGGGAAAACACAAAAACATGTTCTGAGATTGTTCAATGGGCTTAAGTTTCAGAGGTATAATTTCTCTAAAGACCTGCGCTTTGCGCACCCCAAGGGTAGACGAGCGACTGACGGAGACGACAAGTTGAGGCCATGAGTTGAATCGGGCTTTGAACATCGGTTTCCTGAGCAACAAAACACCAAGACCAGCCACCAATGGCGTTTCTTCGGCGACCACTGCTGGCGTTCTTCACGCTTTGGCAATTCGCTCGAAGCAGCTTGGCCTCCGTTGGTACTCGCCTGACTGGTGACTGGACCGAGGCTTTTGGTGTTTTTTTGGTGATGCGAGGATACGCGAGGTTTTGGCCTCCGATCACGGTGAACTGCTCGAGTCAAGCCTGAATTCCATGGGCAGCTCAAGCTCCTTCCCCAGAATGTCGTAGCTCTTTGAACATGGGATCATGTGAATATGCCGAATTGGAGTGACCAAGACATGAAACTGTAGACATCAACTCCAGTTCGGGCCAGCCCACTGAGTCGATGGTTCCAGTTCGGTTTTTCCTTCATGTCGATAGATTTAGGGGTCGGTCATTCCTGGACCAGGTGTTCTTTGGACCCTCCAAAGAGCTTCTTGAAGGCCTTGGGGGGGGTCGTATTTATCGAATGATATCATGAGTCATCAACATGGAATTGGGAATTTTGTGAACCATTCATGTCACATGTGACACATTCTGTGAACCCTATACCTTTGATGTTCATTGGCGTCCATTTGCTTCATCAGCTTCGCCGACCTTTTGCGGCTTCGTCGACGTGGCCTTTTCGCTTCTGACTCGGACTGGGCAAACGATGAAGATCTGGAGTTCAGTCATTGACCCGTTGGCAAGCGGGCTCCGGGCCAAGGAAAAGAAGGTGGGACAGGAGCATGTGGGACAGGAGCCCAAACGGGTTACGATAGGCCTGTCCCAAAATATACACTTTCGACTTTCGAGAAAGCATTGGCTCGGAAAGATAGACAAGCAATCACGACCCGGGCCAGGGGTGACTTGAACGTGTACTGTACCACCTGGCTAATGGATGCTTTTGGCCGAACCTCACGCGAAAAGACGGAGCGTGATTCGTCAGCTCAGGTGATGGTGGCCCATTCGATTGTGGCGATGAGCCATACCTGATGCTGGAAGAGGCATGGCCTTTACCCCTACAGCTCCAGCTACCTTCTGAGAGGCTGTTTGGAACATTCAGTTTGAACATGCTTGAACTTTGAACATGATGGAATCATATGGAATCAGCTTTGTTTTGCAACAGTGATAGGTGAATTGCATTGGATTGCCATCTTTCACCCTCTCCAAACTCAGACAAGCCACCACAGCGCCCTCGTACCCTTCTGGCCGTCACGTGCTCCTGCTGTGCACCACCGCCCGCGCTCACCAACCGGCGTGAGCTGAGCAGGTCTTGCACAACAACCTCGGAGGCCATGGCCCTCACCATGGCGCCTGGGCATGTTGGGGCGCCGGATGCAACCGGGTCGAAAGTCGAAGACGTGACAGAACCACCGAGTGAAAACGATCTTTGCCAAGAACACGTGCCAACTTGCCTTAAGAGAACTTGCCGAATAGGACCAAGATGGTCAAAGATGGTTCAATTCTTATTTGTATCCGGTCCATATAAATATAATATATCCCAACACTATGTCAAGCACGAAGCCGGCCGAGGAGAGGAAGGGATCATTTATCAGGCTGTGGAGTATTACAAGATGCTCGGCTGAAGTTGGTGCACCCCCACTTATCCTTCCCCATCAAGTGTTGTGCAGCTGTGCACTTTGCAACAGCACAGCAACCACATTTTATAGCCGTTTCAGAGCTGGCTATTTCCCTCAATCTGTCCCTTGCCCAAGCGTTCTAGGTCAATGAACTTCAATAGTTGAAACCCCTGCTTACCAGTGGTGACAGCATCCACTGTGGTGAAAAACTTCACCAGTTCACTCCAATCATCTTCTATTCATTGGATCGTCTAGACTGAGATGAACCCGCCTGAGATGCCGATTGTCTAGACATCAGAATCAAGAATCTGAACAGCGGATTTTGCGCTTATGGCCTCATCTTCGACATTGCTATTGTGGCACTGGGTGGTCTATAAGATGGGGAGACGCCTCTGTGCGTCCTCCCCTTAACCTGAGTTTTTCCTTCGTGGTGTTGCTCTTGCTTTTCCTCAGGAACATGCACCGCATTGTGCATGTGAATCTTCATGCAGCCCCTTGGCTATCACAAGCATCTCTTTCTGAGTGGTGAAGATCCGACGGTGCTCAAAGGTGGTGAACGTATGTGAACATGATCACTCCAGGGACGCTACTAGGAACAAAGGGCATTGCTACTAGGAGCAAGGACGCTACTAGGGGCTCCTGGCCTTACTACTAGGAACACGGACGCTACTAGGAGCAAGGACGCTACTCAGAGAAGGGGCTCAGTCCTTCACGTGATCTCTCGAGAGCGGGCTTTTGCAGTGGGTTGATGTTGTGGGCTGCTGGGTCAGGGTTGCGTGCTGTGGGTTTTGTTTGGGCGACCGCTCGGATAAGGTGGAGAAGGTCGAAGACCCTTGTAAAAAAATGGACCTTGTGAACCATGTGAGCGTCAGCGTTGTTGGCAGTGGGAGGGTGTATTCGTCTTCTGTGGGGAATTCACAGCACCCCAAGAGTGGACACAGAACGCTGTGATTTGCCGCTCCATGTGGCTCCCACAGAACTCGAGACTCGGGCAAAGAACACAAAAACATACAAAAACATGAAACGTAAACCTGAAACGTTGAGTGGCCCGGCAGCTCATTGCTGTGTCCAGGTGGACAGTCCAGGTAGCTTGATTTCGGTGGAGGGCCGCTATGTTAGAAAATAGGAGCCAAAAACGAAGAACCAATCATTGGGATTCATCAGGTACCAGGGGTCACAAAGGGGTGGTGTTTGGTCCCGAAGTGAGTGGATGTTCTGGGCACCCCTAACCTCCAAGTTCGGCACCCCGTCGAACATGACTCCTGGTATGCATACTTTAAGAGTCTTTAAGCATAGTAAGACCATGCTCTCCTCGACTCTAAGGTCTCCAGCTATACGCCCTGGGACTCCTTCGCCAATGGCCTCAACGGTCGCTTCGGGGTCTTTACCCAGTGGCTTGGGCCGAAGGCTTCGACGCGACGTCCTGGTGAGCGACGAGTCTACCCCCAAGGCGAGTCTACATCGTGTTCGAGTCGTGGGTGAAGACGACGGAAGAACCGTCCGAGGTGTTTCATGTAGACTCTTGTAGACTCTTGATTAATAACCCCCGGTCCATTTGAATTGAAACAACCTCTTCATATTTATGGGGGTAGTTAGTAAACGTAGAATCTTGATTGAATCTTGATGAATAAACGGTTCATGTGGATTGTAGCTTCTTTTTCATTTGGGGTGTTGAATTATAATCGAGGAGCACGAGAGTCTACATGTACAAGAAGAGAAACAATTAACTCAAACGCATTTGTGGATTTTAGGACTACATGCCGCACCTGGTGCTGAGGGCTGGGCTGTTCGTGCTACTCAGGTGAAGTTTAGTTGGGCACTGGGCACTTAAACTTAAGCCAGGGCATGTGCAGAGTAATTAGTGGAGAATCCATCTGAAGATCCTGACCTTTCACCATGTCCCTCAGGGTTTTTGTTGTTGATCCAGAGCCTCTACCTTCCGACTGATCAGTCGTCGTGGTTTCTTCGCCCAGAGCAGTCGTCGCATCCGTCGGATCCCGTCGAGGGAAGCGGGCCATGCCTTGGACGTGGTGTTCAGTTGGGGACGCCCAGACGGGTCCGTCGGGAGGGAGGATCAGGATGGATCAGGTACCTGGCATTGGCAGCAGTGGCAAAGCTGCGGATTAAAGAACACGTTTGTTTGGCGGTCTGTGCCCATATGCGGATTTGGTTCTTTCGTGTTCTTGGCTGGAGTGTTTGTTTGCTGCGCCGTGTTCGTATGCTGTTAAGCCGCTAGTGGACCTATTGTGCATTCTACAGGGTCGCATGGGCCAAGGAACAAAAGCAAAGGTACCTGCTTGAGACCTTGGTACCACAAGGTGCCGATACACAGGATCCAGGATACATATATACAAGATGTAATATGTGTGTCTCCCTCTAAAGAATATGGGCCTGACCTACTGTTTGTTTTGTTGCTTGTGCAATCTTGTGCATATGTCGGCACTCAACGTGTTTGGCCTTTTGAACTCCGTCTTTAAGATCGAAGTTCACCATCACGTGCTCGGAGAACTTACGAAGAAGCGAGGCTTTACCACCGTGGACAAGAAGCCAGTGGAGTTGAGAACCTTCACCATTAGCTTTTACGACATGGACAGGCCGGACGATGCGATCATATGCGATCGTCCATCGAATCGTGCCTTCTGCCGTCTCTGGGGGGGTTCAGAGTCATCGGATTCTGAGATGAAGCATTTTTAAAAAATGTTTTGGAGGCCCTATAGATCGTATGGATGAACAAAAGACACACGTGACGTGACACATGTCCTGAAAAATGGATATAGCTTCACCATCGACGTTGGCGTTGGAGATCGCTGACTTTCCAGAACGCATGTTGCATGACTGCGCAGGTCAACCCTACACAAAAGACGCAACAACGGCAACAACAAGAACAACTCAAGCATTATATCCTTTCGGTGTGTTCTTTCCCAAGCCCTGAACATCCCAGTGCGGCACCTGAAACCTCCTTCCTATCCCGACTCCCAAACTCGTGGCGTTGGGCCAGGGACAAGAAGCCGGGCGAAGGAGTGGAGATGGTGATCCCGAAGCAGCCGTACACCATGGCCCCTGGGCGCGCCACGCGCCACGCCGAACTCTCTCGAAGCTTCCGAGTTTGGCCAAGTCTGAGTGGTGGTTGACCAGCATGGTGAGGGAGAGATGGCTACATACAACCCCAGAAACATCTAGGTCAACCAGCCCAAGGTATCCCACCGGTGGTAAATATGCTTAGTGTTAGGCAGTTTTTGAGGTATTTCATGTGTATGTTTCGCTTCTCCAAGCCCTGAAGTTAGATCGACGCATCGAGGTCTACATGAGCAACACCACCCAGATCAAGAAGGCCGGATTGGATTGACAGACAGAAACTCCAGCAATTGCAGACAGTTGGTCCAGAAGGGGGGCTGTTGGGAGAAGACACTGTTCTTGAAACATTGAGCAGACCAATGATTCGCCATGAGTCCGCCATGGTTTTTGGGGCCTGTCTCCTGTGGTTGAATTCGTGCATGTTGTTTCAGCCTAGTTGTCACTCAGGATTTCACAGCCCTATGTACTCTCACGGTCTTTCAGCCACTTCCTTGCCTGTCAGCCACCTCCGAAACTCTGGTTCGGTTCGGTGGGTGCTTGCCAGTGGCAGCTTCGGGACTGGTCCGGTCTTACATTACGGCCCCTGGCAGTGGCTGGGACTGGTAGCTGAACCATTGGCTGCGGAACAGATGCCTGGTTTTTCCGGAACATGAAGCGACTAGAGTTGGGAGAGTCTTGGAAGATCAACCTACCAATGGTGAGTATACCTAGCTCCAGGTGCTACTCACACTAGCCATTTGCATGGTGAGTCGTCTAGAACCCATAACCGACCAACGGTCGTCCGACCCGCCAGGTGGGCCATCCCGATGGCACCTTCAGCTTCGAAGGCACCGAGAAAGGAACCTATCAGGACAATCCGGTGAAGGCGCGGTCATACCACGACGGCGCCGACGATGGCGCGAGGAGGTGGTGGTCGACCCCGGTCGGACAGGGCATGACGCGCGGTTTAACAACCAGAGTCTCTATCGTTGAAGGTCAGAATGTCCTTTCGGTATTTCTGGGTGATGGGCCAAAAACACATTGCAGCAAAAATGCATCAGACCTTTCTCAGGTGTTTTGTATTTGTTGCTTTGCGATGCTTTGCGATCTCTTTCGCAGGTGGTGCATGAGCAGAAACTGGACGAAGACAGGCACCCCAAAGCGGCGTTGGAACCTCGCGGCGGTCCACGGCGCGGGTGTTTTCGTCGCGTCCGCGATTTTCTGGACACGGACCGTGGCGGGTGATGTCCACTGGGTCACTCGAAAGTTTGGAATTTCCTTCACTCCATCACCCATGACTCCACTATACTGTACTCATCTATACTCCACTGGGTCACTCGATTTCGTCCCCGACATGATTCCTTTCTTTTTCTGGGCCGGGGCCCATGTTTGGACATGACAGGGGATTGGATGGGGGACCATCTCTTTGTAGGCCCAGAAAGATCCACAGTGAGCAAGCCGATGTGGTGAGGTTGAGCAAACCGAATGCTTCCTTTCAGTCTATTGGAGGTGGTTGGGACGACGCAAGGGCCTGTTAACACCTACATTGATCCACATACCGAACCGAGATCGGTACGGTGAGGAAGGAGACCATTTATGTAGGCGCCATTGTCGGGCCCAATCATACTTTCTGAGAAGGTATGTGGATCCGGGATTGCATGGTTAATACATTAATGACATGAACCTATTCGGCATGTTTCTTGTTCGAAGCGAACGATCGCTTGGCCGCCCGCGCGTGGCCGCGATCGACGGCGCTGCCATCCTGCCAGGTGCGTGGCCTTTGAGTTCAAGAATGTCAAAAAGGCGCTGGGGCCATCAACGACGTGTTGAGTACAGGGCAAAGGCACTTGTTCAATCAACGGCGATGGACCAAAAGGCAGTTCTGCTCGTTGGGGAAACACTTTGTTTGGGTCGTAAAATGGTCTTAGCTTGTGAGAGTACAAGTCTTCAATGTGTTTTAAGTGTAGGATCTATACCTCATTCCCCTCGGTCTTGCGATGATCTTTAGTTTCCCTCTGATGTGACTATGTTTAGCCAATCTTAGATCATCTTAGCAATTAATGTTTATACCTGGGTGTGAAAAAATTACACATAAAGCCAATTTGTCCCCCCCAGTTTTTCCGAGGTTCCAGCACGCACTTTCCTCTTCATCCTCTCGAGCGTGTGCGATCCACAGCGCACCGTGCGCACCGTGCGTGCGCCGGCGCCAGGTGCACATGCGAATCCAGTCCACGGCGGGCTTCATGGCACGCACCACGCAGTTCGCCTGCCTCAACTCCTTCATGTGCAAGGCAAGGACGGCTGAGATGACATGGAAACATATGGAACCCGTAGCCCGGTGGGCCCCAAGTAACGCCTCAGAAGGACTGGACTCTCCTGGCACTCACCCCCAGTCCCACATGTTCAGAAGTCAGAAGGTATGACTGGAGCCAAAGGGTACAATGAATCAGTCTCTCAGAGTCTGAACAATAGATTTGCAGAGCAAGGCTTTTACTATAGAACCATCATCATCCACTGGGCCCTGGTAATAGGATAGACCCAAGATTTGCCCACAGACTCATTCTGATTCTGTAGAAACCAGTTACAGTAGTCAACAACATGCCCTTTGTTGGATGATGAACATGGGCATGACGAACCCGTCTTGGGGAATTTTGCCGTGCGCGTGAAAGAGAGCAACAGAGAAGGTAAATATGCAAGACACTTTGATGCACGTTCCATGGAAATGGAGTTCACCCCCTGTTCGTAAAGGAAAGTAGTTTTCCAAGGGACCATTTTCTACTTAATGTTAGTGAGTCAGAGTGTACATTGCCATAGATAGGATGCTCCGGGATGCGCAGGTGCTTGTGTGTTTGTGTCTTGTCCCATCATTTCTTGGTCGAGTTTTCACAGCACAAATCACAAGACACACGAAGACGCAATATTCTTTTTCCCGTCCCCAGCCTCCCGGGAAGAACGTTGTGAGAGTGGGAGCCTGGGAGCCTGGGGAGCCTTGCAGACATATTCCTGTTTTGCTCGCTGGTGGGTGAACGGTATAGACATAGGCATAGGTTCATTCTGAGGATTGTCAGTGACACAAGCCATTTGTCTCACTCGAAAGATCATCACTGAATCATCACCCTTCTAGTAATTCTAGTAGGTGTCTCTCACATAGTTTCATTATGACAGATCCAGGGGAGAATCATACTCATCTCCATGTTTTTTTTTGTAGGGCGACCCTTCAGAGTTCCTCATGGAAAGGAAGGGAAATGATAGCCACATCTCGATTGGGTCTCCCTTTAACCTAATTAGACCCTGAGTGACCTCTTACTGTAGATCACCCCAACTATGTGTGTTTCCTCTTAAGAATGATAATAGTGGTCACATTTGGGCTCTAGACTCCAGACGCTAGAGATTACACACACCCATCTACTCCTGAACATTCCCTGGCAGGTGGTGCCTGACCGCCAAACCGCTTGGCATAAGGACTGTAGTCAGAAAGCCAGCCGCGGTGAATGGAAATGAAACGAACAGTTTGAGCAGTGACATTTGAACAGACTGTACGAACAGGCAAACAGAAATTATATCTATATATATATATTACTGTAATAAAATATAGTAATCATTCCAATCACTGGTAGTTGGCCAAACAATGGTAAATTACAAGGATTCTTATTGATCTTGCAACCAGAGGAGAGACGAGAGATATGTTTAAGATCTCGAAGAGGGTCCACCAAAGGGTAGCATCCCAAATATTTGAGGATATTCTGACTGTTCCGGGGATTCTGAATCTATTGGCCTTGAATCCAAAGGGCACGCGTAGTGGATTCTGAATTTCTAAGCGTGCTAAGCTGACCGACGGGATTGGAGTCAGTCTTGCACAGCTGCCGCTGCCGCTGGTCGAATTGGTTGCCCAAGGATTAATGTCTTGAAGATTTGATGCCCCCCACAACCTGTGTGGTATGGAATTACTGACCTACATACCTGTAAAGCATCTAGACCACCACCCCAATGTAGGCAAATAGTCCGGAAGTTCTAATGGATAAAATCAAATCACATTTTGGATTCCAAGCCTCTCTTCTCGGAGACCCGACACCACTCCTCTCTACACTCTCTCCGCTCGACGATTACCTTCCACGGGTCCCGACGAAAAGCTTCCTTCGCGAGTGGATTCTCTCGCGGAAGCGGCGGTCTTCCGAGGACACGGCTGAGGAGGTGGAAGTGGGACCACAGGATTCGAACCAGGTGAGGATCTCGGACCTTCGGTGAGGACGACGGGTGCTGGGACCCCTGCAAAAAAAGGGAGGTGGCAAGAACTCTGAGTGTATTATGCTCAATAGGAAGACTTGTGGGACCAATGTGTTTAGGTTTTGGGTCTAGTTTCTATGTTCCCTTGTTGGCAGGAGGTTGGGAGGTCTCCCGTAAATAGACTACACCCATGCGAGAGAAGTGAGATAAGTCATCGCCAGAGATGAGACATGACATTGAATGCAGTGCGCCACACATCGCCACGCCACACTATTCTTTATTGATATTTGGGACTGGTACTCTAGTCTCCTCCTAGGACCTGGTTGCACTGACCCGCATTGGATCCTGCAAAAAATCGCCGGTGATAAAGACCGGACGCGTCGAACTGACAGGTTCATTGGTCATGTCAGACTGATGTTTTGATGTGATGGTTTCGTTAAATAGAAGTATTCAATTCCTATTGGAGCCGAACCAGATGGTGGTAAGTTAAGGTTTCTTTAGTCTATTGAGCTGAGGCCAGGCCGATGATCGGCCGAGGGAGATGCGACGCCTCTGGTGATGCTTCAGACTCAGAACGATCCCCATTGCAAATCAGATCAATCCACCACGATTGCCAGGGGGGTTGCAGACTAATGTATAACCTTTGGTCGACCTTGAGGGTCGGTCCATTGAAGTCATCAAGTATTCCCCTCCTGGTGGTTCTTCACTTTCCCGGGACGATCGGTGCCGCTACGATCGGATGGGTGAGAACAACACACGGTATCTCCGCGTATACCCGTGTGGTCCTCATCCAGTGGTCTTCACAACAGAACGTCCGACGTGCTCAGTAGGGCAATCCACCATGTCCTTTTTCACGAGACGAATGCAGGTATGCCTATACATTTGCCTACCAGGACCTTCAAAGTGACCTTTTGAGATCCTAGAATGAGGTCACTTAGGCCTACTTAGGCCTGTAAAAGGTCCAAACAGGTCACTTTGAAGGTCCTGGTACATTGGGATCATTTCCGGGGTTCAAAAAGACTAGAACTATTTGTCTTGAGTCTTGATCAATGCAAAGCATCCCACGAGCCTGGCATATGTTTACATTGACCCCATTTCAACCACCCCGATGTAGGTAAATATGCCAGTCTCATGGATGGTTTGGGGTTGGTACAATTTCCAGGGATAAAAAACAAACATACAGTATAGATCATAGAGAAGGCCACAATGCTGTGACAGCTCAGCCACCAGGGCTCATGCTTCACAGACTCAGATGGCCTTTTATCGGTCAAGGGTGGCACTGACCCCCGAACGGCTTCCCATTCGGTGGGACCATCGCTTTCACCCGATGCACAGCTCCTCCTTATAGTCGGGGTTTCACCAACATAACGACCACACGAACCACGACAGGCGCCCATCCGCGCGCGCACCGGGCTGCTCTTTGAGTACACCTTTCCCAAGCACCTGTGCCTTGGAGCGAGCGAGGGGGCTAAACCGGACGGACCAGGGCGCAGACGAATGGGTGATGAGAGAACGGACCGTTTTCGGGGCACACGGACGTGGGTGTGAACATGTGTGAACCATCGCTGGAAGAGGAGGAATCGAGAATCAATGGAGTCGAGATGTTCACAGAAGGAAGCACAAGAAAATGGGTCAACAAGAAAGTGCATCACCACATAGTAAGATGCAAGCTGCAACTGCATGGAATTCACAGTTCAGCCTGATGTTTGAGAGTCATTCTAGATTTTTAGGGAGCCCAAAACTCAGTTTTCACAAGCGCCTTTTTCATACTTGGATATTTACCTGCACTGCATTAAAATACTGAACTACTTGTCCTGGCCCCCAAAATTAAGTGTCTTCTCTCAAGCTGCCTGGAAGAATCCAGCTGGGCTTGCCACTTTCCTCTTCCACTTTTCTCACGCTGCTTACTTCTAGACACCTCAGCACTCAGCAAGGTTCTTGGGGGACGACCTGATCTTCAAGACCACCATGTTGGATGGACCGCACTCTTCGGGGCGACCGACCGACGCGATCTGGCGACCGCCCGCCCGTGCCGACGGCGCCCGACCGACGCCCCAAAGCACCATCGTGAAGAATCCAGAATCCGCATGGAAAACGTTTGTTCCTTTTGGGGTTTGAAGTCGGTTTGAGATGGTTTACAGCAAGTGCGGATTGGAATTCTGATGAATCCTTCTAGGTTCGGAACTGCCTCATGAAATCGTGACTCGCCTCACATGACTCTCGAAATTGTTTGCGCAGGTCTCCATGAGAAAACCACTGCACATGGCAGGGACATCTACAGATTGGCTCTTCAACATTTGGGGAGATCTTATGGGACGTTGTTCTTTTTGTACATCCTATTTTTCCAGGTGTTCTACAACAGGTGCCATGTGCATGCTGGTTGGTCCTACATTGTTGCGCTGGTGGGTGGTTTTGAATCTGATCAATCTCTTACATGTCTATGTTCAAGCTTTCAATGATTAATCACACAATGATCCATATTTTTGCTTCAAGCAGGTCAAAACCACCATCAGAGTTGACGTTGCACTCGACGCCAGTATTCCACACCCGATGTTGATCTTTCCTCTTTCACCAGGCCTTTGTTAAACAGTTTAGACATGTCTACAACAGGTACAGGTTGCTCTGCCAGTTTTTGTTTCAGTCCAGGTTCTGTGCAGCGACGCGGTGTTTTCGGAAGTGGCACAGTTGGCGCTCAACTCCCGGACCCCTGGAAAGTCCACGCGTCTCCACCTTCCACGCACCGCCAAACCTGTCTGAGTCGAGGGGCCACATGACCGGCCACATGTCTGAGGGTCTCGCGGAGGACGGCCTTTGCCCAGTTGGCTTCACTTCAACCCCAAGACATGCACCTTGAGCGGCACCCCCAGCGCTTCCGACCGTGGCGTCATGAACGTCAAGGCGCGCCGGCGCACGGCTCGCTCGCGCGCGCAGGGCTTAGCTCGGCACGGCTCGGTCCACCGGGACAGTGCCGCGAGTCGGCGCGGGCCAGGTGCGCAGCATCAACTCCGCCGGGGTGGAAGCCTCAACCACGTTGACGCTGGACATTGGTGGTGGTCCCGCGCTGGCGAAGCGGCTTGGATGGAGGTCAAAAGGAAGGGTGCAGAGAGGGTGGGAGGGAGGGGTGAGGATCCGGTGTGGGGTGAGTTGGGACGGGAGGCTTCGAGTTGGAAATGCTAGTAGCGTGACCGGCCGTGTGTTTGGTGGAAATAGTCCTCGCCACGCATGGTCAGTAATTCGAAACACCTTTGTGCTGTGTTCATGGACTCAGGCTCAGGCTCAACATGGGATTCTTGAAGATGTTGCTGTGTGGTTCAGTGGTTGTTTGGTTTGGTGATAGGAATGGTGCTGATAGCTACTATTGGCATGGCTATGGTATGCTCCTTGTAAGCATGGACACCAGGAAACACCTGCGCTTTTCGCACCCTCCGTGCTCTTTTCGCCTGAAGAAATCGACCGTTGGAGGGGCAAATCTGGGTGCCACGTACCGTCCTCCCCCAAACGGACCCGGACCCCACTGAGGCCCATCCCTCTGCAGAGAGTGCGGCCGGGAAAGGACTTTGTCTATGCCTTGCCCAAGGCGGACAAACAGTCATTCCTTGCTCGAAACGGCATGTTTGCGCAAAAGTCGGCGCCTGTGTGGTGAAGCATGTTGGGGAGAAACATGGTGTTTGATGTTTGAGAAGTCAGAGCAGGAAAGGCTAAGAGTAAACCAGGTTTTCGCATCTATACAAGGATATAGAAGAATGTTCCTGAGTTAGAGACACATTAGATGGGACGTGCTTTTCTATATCCAGTTCTAGAGGAGCAGGTGTTGACGTTTAATAGTTGCTTGACCGTTCGCTTGCGTAGAATGCTTATGTCATTTTCATGTTGTGTCCTTTCTCTCCTTACAAACATGACCATCAGATGGTCTTGTCCATGTTTTTATTGCCTGCTATTGCTGTTCATTTGCCCTGTGGTGGAATGGTGATTCTCACCGGAGAAGGCCAGAGGCGGCCGGAGCGCTGGACGAACGCTGGACGAAGCACCCCGACGGACCGCTGCCGCTGGCAGGGCATGTTCATTGACACCATGGACGGTGAGAAGTTGAACTTCAAAGCCACCAGTAAGGCGTAGCACATCGCACCGTTGGCGTGCGTGGCGGAGCGTTCGTTGGCGTGCGTCGGCGTCCTCAGAGTGGGAATGGAAGGAAGATGCAGAAACATTCAAGGAGTGGAGATGGAGATGGAATGGTTCTTTGGCACAACAGTAAACACGCATCCCAAAATTTTAGCAAGGATTTGCTCTCCGCTTGCTGAATGAAGTCTTTGCTGCTGATGACCCTCACTTGCAAGCTTGGTAGCATCGAATCAATGGCCCAAAACTTTGTTCCTAGACTTAAAGCACAACCGCAGAAACAGCTTTCACGACCAACCCTTTCAACAGATGTCATTTTCAGATGAATAGAGGACCTGTTTTCATCAAAAATGAAGGTTTAACAGCCACCCAGCTATATGTATATTATATGTTCTACAAATGGCAACTACATGCAACGTGTCGACCTTCAAAAGTGCGTGCAAGCCCGTGTGTTCTACAAAATATGTTTTACCAAGGTAGTTTCATGTTTACCTTTTTTGCTATGTGTTGCTGCTTCTTGTGCCCATGCTGGCTTTGGAAGATCCAGGGACATAGGTTGCACTCCTAGGTCGAAACACACCGACTGAAGCAGTACATCTCCAAAAAAGAACAAAGAGCTTGCCTTGGAGTGCCTGTGTTGGAAAACCGAGGTCAAAGAAACAAACACCCACTGACAAGACCAAATGTTTGGAGCGTCTCCCGACGAAAAAAACACACGTACAGTAAAACAAACACACACAGTACAAGACAAATCAAAGCAACAGATGTCAGGATGGCTCGGAGCTTCCAAATTGGCTCCATTTCGATCCAGCGCCTCGGCTTGCTTTCGGGTCCAGTTCTGGCTTCCACTGTTTCGCTTGCGGATTCCACATGGCACCACGACGGCCTTGGTCCACATGAGCTTGGCGGCCACATGGCTTCAGCACCCAAAGCCTGGCAGAACCCCGAAGCAGGCACTCAAAAAAAAACATGATTGATTTGAATAATTAAGCAAAAAACTGCCACTTTTCAGTTCTCCCATCCATCTTGGCAGGGTCGTTCACCGTCGTTTGTCCTGTCGCTTGGCGGCCAGTGGACCGACCCTTTCCGAGGCACAAGGCCGCTTCTATGGGCTTCCGCCAGCGGATGCGCATGGCGTCCTAGAGGCGGAAGCGCGGATGCGCATGCCGCATGGTCTCGTCTCCTCGGTCGGTGGGGGGCATAGAGCTGTGTGGTTTTGGGTCAGGAGGGAACATCGCATGGGAAACATTGCATTTTTGGGATCCATGGCACGTGGAAGAATTGCATATGGAAAGATATCCTGCGATTCGGAGGGAAGTCGTTTCTGGAAGTGGACATTGCCGATGATAAGCCAAGAGTCACCAGCGTTTCGGCATTTGCAGGTGTGGCTGACCGCGATTGATTCCCAGCACTTCTCAGTCACAGACAAGTTCGACATGATCGTAGGCTCCGACCCGCGGTCATGCCAGCGCGTGGACGTGTGGATAACGCAGTAGGTGGGTCGCGCGATGTGGGTTGTCATAGCTTCATCCACTCGAGACAACATTCTGAAATTCCTAGGCATTAAGAGTCCTCCAACGACCATATCCAAGGGTAATGAAAGGGTCTAGATTTCATAGCTTGCAGTATCCAGTGACATCGAAAGATCAGCGGAGAGATCCTGGAAGGGTTGACAATAGATATACTAACTGTTTGAACACTTTTGAACTGTCGTTTTGCTTGTATAATGGTATTACCATGTATTACTCTATGAAAGTTTATCAAAGACCCTAATGATACCCTATAAATTGAAGTAACACCCTATTAGCACCCTATACATCCCTTTCTTTTGTGGCTTTGAATGCCTTCTTGGAAGTAATCCTTCCGTGCAGGTGACGGCATTGGAGAATTGAAGTACGGGCCAGGCAGGCAAATTCCAGCGGGTGCTTGTGCAGCTGTGCATTGCCTGAGGATGCCTGAGGTATGTGGATCAAGAAAGCACTGAACCTACAGTCCTTCACAGAAATGGTTTGTCCAGCGAAATACATGGCTGGAACCACAAAAGGAAAAAATGACTAACGGCCACTAAATCAAGTCTAGTCAGGCCTTTGCGATACAAAGTCTGGACTTCGCATGGTTTGATGCGCTGTACTTCCTTCAAGCAACATGTCAGACGTCGACCGAGTCAGACATCTCTGCCCAGTGGTGTCACCACTTCGTCGCACGCATCGCGCTCTCTTCGCGCACGGAGCTCTCATCGCCAGACAATGCGCCGCCGGTGGTGGCCAAGCATTTGCGCGCCCAGCGGCTCAAAGCTGGCAGCGCTTGGAGCTTTCAGGCGCAGCCAGGGAGGTTGAGGTAAAGCCAAGAGGTGGATCACCTGCAGGTCACCTGTCTTTGTGGCTTGAGCGATTGGTTGGTGACCGATTACACCCCACTTGGTTTAAACAAGAGCAGGTGGAGTTCGGAAAGGTGAACCGGTAATTTTTGTTGAGAGGGAAGCTCAGGGAGTCAGTTGAGAGGGAAGATCGGAAACCACCAGAGCTGATGGATATGGAGATTCAATGGATTGGGGATGATGGGGGATTGGTTGAAGGGAATACTCTATAAGGGACACCATGACGCCAAAACGATTGGTTTCCTCGATATACGGAAATGAGGCGCAGAACGCAATGAATTATCCCAGACCATCCATGTATGGCATTGCATACCTTGACCCCTGCAACCACCCCGATGTAGGTAAATACGCCAGCCCCATGGATGGTTTGGGTATTACAAAAGACATCTTGGTCTGGAACTTTGGAACCACAAAAAGGTGGAAGAACTGGAAGTCCGAAAAAAGCTCCACAAAAAAATATAACAAATCAATCAAACACGGGGATTTTTCGGTGAGGAGGAGAAGAAAATCGTCCATGGCTTTGGGAGTTTGATGTTTCAAATATATATATATATATATATACACATAATACCAGATGCACTTCAGGTTTTACTTCTGGGCTTGCTTGATGTGATGTGAAACGGACAGTGCAGTACCCATGGACAGCAACAGGAACTGGTAGATCCCATACAGGACTGGCAGCCCAACGAGTCTGTCAACCCACTTGAACTTGATAGATCAGGAAGGGAGCCTCCATTGTGCCAAGTCAGTCCACACCACATAGCCACTGTCACGTATATTGCTGGAAGACTGAGAATGATATAAGATATAGAACTTGGGGAGAGAAGACATGTGTCATCATGTGCCCATTGTAGACAGGAAAACGACACGACCGATGATTGTCGCTGTGCATATCTGTGTCAACGTTGAGAGGAAGTGCTATTTTACGCAGCAAATTTGATTTCCTGTCATGTCAAGTGCAGCCTGGAAACCGAACCCTCTGCATCTTGGGGAACATCCCTTCCGAAGGACAGACCGCACCCAAGCTCTTTGAGTTCTTTTCTGACATGATTTTGTTGCCATCATCAAAAACCCCTGCAACATGTTCCCACACCCACAAAGTAACATAGTGACATCGTGCAACACATTCAACTGGTATTTGATGGCGATTATTCGGCAGGCCAGATCCCAGATGACCATGAAATATCTCCAAAGTAACCTGGGTTCAAAGGCCGGATGAGAATAGATTGTTAGTGGAACGTAACTACCCCCTTGAAATGAACCTGAGGCTTCATGCGTTGAACATATATAATAACAAGAAACATGTGTGTAGAACACAGCCATCATGCATTAACATACTATAGCAGCAGCATGCTAAAACAGGCTTGTAAATTGATGCAATCAAATGAGCAACCGACAAAATTATTGGAATACTAAATATGTAAGAGGCCGCCTTGTGCTTATAGAGAAGTGAAGGAATCCTTGGCAACCGATAGGGGACGACCCAGCACCGATACCCCTAAACCCACCAAGATTGTTTTGGTTGTTATTGTTGTTTTGTTTTCGATGGCTGTGAATTGGAATCCAAGGTGCTTTTCAATATTCTGAACCTTAGTGGGTTATGTTGCAAGAGCTATCACACCATTGTCAAGTGAGTTCGCCGATGAGGTTTCATTAATGAACAACAATTGGGTGGTTACACCGTGGACTAAGGGAGCTCTCATGGACAGCTCAACCGATACTAACCGATACCATGTTTTGCAGATTTACATGCTTTGGTGCCCCTTGTCCCATTTGAAGGGTGCCACTATATTCAGGACCATTGCGGGTGTCTATGCAGAGATCTCTCATGTTTGTAGCTGCAGTTGTCATTTCTTAGAATCCACATGGTAGAGTAGTTTCACCTGATTGCAATGTTACCCTACTGGTGTTTACAGTAAGGCGAGCAAAGAAGTACAAGGAGGCATTAGAAGATTCTGCAAACATGTACAAATCACCAGATGATGCAGACAACCAAGAGGAAATTAACAAGAATATCAGCAGACTACAACTGAGGAGACTGAGGAGTAAACACAAGCAACAACTTTTGGCCAAGAAAAGGCAAAGCATTGTGAAAGCAGGTCACGGTCAGAGCACCAGCTCAGAATCCAGCTCCTCGAGTTCAATGTCAGATAACACCAAGTCGAAAAAGGAGATGCTACTCTGCTGTTTGCTTCCACAAGCCTTTCACAAGGCACTCGCAGTTTCAAGCCCCGAACTGGAAACACAACCGCGCAGCAATCAAAACGCAACATGGCAAGCCCGGCAAGCCCTTCACAACCGATGCTTCACAAATGACACCATCATGACATCACATTTCAAATGCCTAATTCTTCACAACCGATAGGGGACGACCCAGTTTGGCATCTGGCATATTGCATGAACAAATAAATTGTCCGCACCTCAAATCACAACAGATGTCAAACTTCTTGGCACGCGATTCCAAAGCCCCAAAGATGAGCTCATCCGGCTCATCGCGGTCGGTCGCAGGTTCCCAGCGAGGTCTTTGTGGATTCCGCCGCTTGGAGTTGGGAGAAGGGGTGGAGAAAATAGGGTGGAATAAGGCTGGCATAACGCTCCAGTTTTGCTAGAGGAAGATCGGTTT